GGACTAAATTGGGACTAAATCCAGGACTAAAACAGGATTTAACAAGACTAAACCAGGACTAAACTAGGACTAAAACCAGGACTATACTAGGACTAAACCAAGACTAAAACTGGACTAAACCAGGACTAAAATAGGACTAAACTAGGACTAAACCAGGACTAAAACAGGATTTAACAAGACTAAACCAGGACTAAACTAGGACTAAAACTAGGACTAAACCAGGACTAAAACAGGATTTAACAGGATTTAACAAGACTAAACCAGGACAAAACCAGGATAAAACCAGGTCTAAACCAGGTCTAAACCAGGACTAAACCAGGACAAAACCAGGTCTAAACCAGGACTAATCCAGGACTAAAATAGGACTAAATTGGGACTAAATCTAGGACTAAAACAGGATTTAACAAGACTAAACAAGGACTAAACCATTACTAAACCAGGACTAAACCAGGACTAAAACCAGGACTAAACTAGGACTAAACCAGGACTAAACTAGGACTAAACCAGGACTAAAACTGGACTAAACCAGGACTAAATTAGGACTAAACTAGGACTAAACCAGGACTAAAACAGGATTTAACAAGACTAAACCAGGACTAAACCAGGTCTAAACCAGGACTAATCCAGGACTAAAATAGGACTAAATTGGGACTAAATCTAGGACTAAAACAGGATTTAACAAGACTAAACAAGGACTAAACCAGGACTAAACCAGGACTAAACCAGGACTAAACCAGGACTATACATGCTACGTGGACGTGTCTCCTCCTCTTCTATCAATAATATTTTTTATTTGGTCCGGAAAGTCTGGGCTTTTTATTTTCTTTTAGCAGATAAAACATCTTATGTGAAGATTTCCTGGTCTTTGCTTCTTTACAGCAAATCAAATAATCCAAAATATTCAGATTACTACACTTAAAAACAACATTTTGCGAAAAAATATTGCTGGAATTACAAAAATTGAAATAAAATGTTCTTGGTTTAAGTCGTTTTATTTTACCTAGATATATTTTTTTCTCTCCCGTGTTCTTATTTGTGATGTTTTATGTATTTATTTATGATTTATTTGAGTTTGAGGTGAGTGAAGTGGAGCGGAGAGCGAGAAGAGGCTCTGACGGATGATGAAGAAGACGAGCGCCGACACACGACAGAAGAGACGAACACAACGACACGAAACAGGAAATCGATGGAGAAACACAGACGAGGCTTTGACATGTGACTCCAGGACCTCGTGATCTCGCGACGCGGACGAGAGCGTGAAAATGATCGAGAAGAATTGATTTTTGTGCGGTCGGGATTCGTAATTTGTCTGTGTTTAAAAGAGAAAAAACTGATTCTCATGAACTAAAATAGAAATACGGATGATAAAGTTTGTTTGTAAATGTAAAGAATCATTCAAACCAGGACCGGACCCAAGACTAGACCCAAAACCAGACCAGACCAGGGCCAGGCCGGGACCAGGATCAGACCCAGGACCAGACCAGAACCAGGACCAAACCCAAGACTAGACCTAAAACCAGACCAGGGCCAGGCCGGGACCAGACCAGGACCAGGATCAGACCCAGGACCAGACCAGAACCAGGACCAAACCCCAAGACTAGACTTAAGACTAGACCCAAGACTAGACCCAAGACTAGACTCAAGACTAGACCCAAGACCAGACCCAAGAGTAGACCCAGGACCAGACCAGAACCAGGACCAAACCCAAGACTAGACCCAAAACCAGGACCAAACCCAAGACTAGACCCAAAACCAGACCAGACCAGGGCCAGGCCGGGACCAGACCAGGACCAGGATCAGAACCAGGACCAGACCAGAACCAGGACCAAACCCAAGACTAGACCCAAGACTAGACCCAAGACCAGACCAGACCAGGGCCAGGACCAGACCCAGGACCAGACCAGAACCAGGACCAAACCCAAGACTAGACCCAAAACCAGGACCAAACCCAAGACTAGACCCAAAACCAGACCAGACCAGGGCCAGGCCGGGACCAGACCAGGACCAGACCCAGGACCAGACCAGAACCAGGACCAAACCCAAGACTAGACCCAAAACCAGACCAGACCAGGGCCAGGCCGGGACCAGACCAGGACCAGGATCAGACCCAGGACCAGACCAGAACCAGGACCAAACCCAAGACTAGACCCAAAACCAGGACCAAACCCAAGACTAGACCCAAAACCAGACCAGACCAGGGCCAGGCCGGGACCAGACCCAGGACCAGACCAGAACCAGGACCAAACCCAAGACTAGACCTAAAACCAGACCAGGGCCAGGCCGGGACCAGACCAAGACCAGGATCAGACCCAGGACCAGACCAGAACCAGGACCAAACCCAAGACTAGACCCAAGACTAGACCCAAGAGTAGACCCAAGACTAGACCCAGGACCAGACCAGAACCAGGACCAAACCCAAGACTAGACCCAGGACCAGACCAGAACCAGGACCAAACCCAAGACTAGACCCAGGACCAGACCAGAACCAGGACCAAACCCAAGACTAGACCCAAGACTAGACCCAAGAGTAGACCCAAGACTAGACCCAGGACCAGACCAGAACCAGGACCAAACCCAAGACTAGACCCAGGACCAGACCAGAACCAGGACCAAACCCAAGACTAGACCCAGGACCAGACCAGAACCAGGACCAAACCCAAGACTAGACCCAGGACCAGACCAGAACCAGGACCAGGACCAAACCAAGACTAGACCCAAGACTAGACCCAAGACTAGACTGTGACAAGGACCAAACTTAAGACTAGACTCAAGACTAGACCCAAGACTAGACCGTGACCAGGACCAAACTTAAGACTAGACTCAGGACTAGACCCAAGACTAGACCCAAGACTAGACCCAGGACCAGACCATGACCAGGACCAAACTTAAGACTAGACTCAGGACTAGACCCAAGACTAGACCCAAGACTAGACCCAGGACCAGACCAGAACCAGGACCAGACCCAGGACCAGGCAAGAACCAGGACAAAAACCAAGACTAGACCCAAGATTAGAACCAGGACCAGACCAGAAATAGAGCAGGACCAGAGACCAGAACTTAGCCCAAACCCCAAAACTAGACCCAGGACCAGGCCAGGACCAGATCAGGACCGGAGCAAGCTCAGGACCAGACCAGGACCATAGACCAGAACTTACTGAACCCCAAGACTAGACCCAGGACCAGGACCAGACCAGGTTCAGGCCAGGACCAGAGCAGGATCAGACTAGGACAGGGCCAAACTAGTACCAGACCAGGACCAAAGACCGGAACTTTGACCAAACTAGAGACCAAACCAGAAAGAGACCGTAACTAGACCCAGACCCATACCCAGAACCATAACCAGAACTAAATCAGGATCAGACCTGGACCAGACCTGGTCAAGACCTAGACAAGACCCAGACAAGACCTAAACCAGGATCAAACCTGGATCAGACCAGCTGTTATTAGCACAGACAGAAAAGCTACAGCACAAACTACAGACAAAACCAGTTTGTTTTAAACGTCCTTTAACACATAAAACTGACTCCTGTGAGTTTCAAGTCTAATGATGTTTCCTCCTCAAAAACTGACCCGGATGTTTGAGTCACACTTTTATTATCAGTCATTAACATAAAACGAGCTGCTGTTTATCACACTCAAGATTTTGTGAATGAAAGATTAGTACTACATATTTCCAGTTACAATTTTACAGTATTGGTTAAATTTTTTTTTATGTATTTATGTATCTCTTTTATTATTATTATTTTATTTTTTTTTACAGTACATTTGTAGATTTGAGATGGCAATCTATAAATTATACACCCTGTGCAACCTTTACTCAGACTGAGATTGTCTGAATTTCCTCATTGTGATAATCAATGTTTCCTCATTCCCTCTTCACGGAGCAATATGTAACTTTTCGAAAGAGGGAGTTGTTTTTGCATTTCCTGGAAGGTTTTCTACAACAAGTATGTCAACAATCTTGCACGTATAGAATTACGGGTGTTCAAAAATAGCTTAAAAACATCCAGTTTTACCACGTCTCTCCACAGATCTGACCTATGACTTGGTTTATTGGTGTCAGGCGTAAGTGAGTCGAATCACTTTTTACAAAAGCCGTAAAAATACTGGATAAGAAACTGCTCTCATTTCACCACTGCGCTATTTTAGACAAGTACAACCTGCTTAATTTTAATCATTTTGTTGATTTTAAATATGAATGTTTTATCTATAAAGTTTTGTATGGATGTTCCCCTCCTCTGTTACAGGATTTTATTAAAGTAAAACTGTCAGAGGGAGGGAACTAAGGCCACAGCCCGGGGAAACTGTGAGCTCCACACAAACGCACCACATTTGGACAAAGTGTGTCTCAGTCAAGAGGCAATACATTTTGGCACAGTCTCCCATTATCAATAAGAGAGACTCCAACACTGGCCACTTTCAAATCCCACTTGAAACAGCGGCTAAAGGAAAACCAGACTTGTGGAAACTTTTGGTTTAGAACTGTCACTTGTTTTTGTTTTTTCTTTGTTAAATTTGTGGTGTCACCTGCCGAGGGACAACAGATGGAAACGAGCATTCTTGTTATAATCTGTCATATTTACAGTGCAGGGTTGTAGAAGTTCATTAATATGCACTGTCTCTATTAAATAAATAAATAAAGTTAATGTCATCCTGTGGAAAATTCAATCAATAACATATTCACGAACACAAAAAGATAAGGGATCCTCCACCGGAAAAGTTACACCGTACACCTTTAATAAACAAATTTGGAGGCACTTATTGCAATCAGACTAAAAGCCAATTATAGAAGCTACTCCTAAATGCACTTTTGAAGGTCATTAGAATCTGCCCGGAGCGTCCCTCGACATGTTTAAACACGTTTTGTCGCGAAGACGCCGCTCCGCTCCGCTCCTCCGTGGCACGACGCATGCGCCTTTTACGCACGCTCCCCGTATAAAGCTCCACTTTGTGTACACTGTGGGTTAGTTGTGAAGAGAGAGCGTCGCTGTCCCTCTTGTCTGGAGCGCGGATCTGAAGGACTACAACGAAGCGAGGGGCGGAGTGTGTGTGTGTGTGTGTGTGTGTGTACGCGTGTGTGTTTTTACCTCGCGATCAGACCCAAGGAATAACACTGGATCTTTTTGTTTTTCTATTTTTTTTGCTTGTTTTATCGCTTCGTTCCGGGGGATTTACAGTTCCTTTATTGCTTGACGTCGCTTTCGGGTCGTGTCTATCGCTCTCCAAAGCTGTTGTGATGCCCCACTTCGCTCTCTCCACGCCGTTCGGGTCATGAGCACGTCGCCGCCGGTGTTTGTCCTAACCGAGACCCAGAACACAGCGTGGAGGAGCGGGCCCAGTGCCGTGCTCTGCTCCGTGTCCCCAGCGGACCCCCAGCGCCAGGCCAAGCGACTCCCGATCAAAGTGCTCAAAATGCTGACAGCCAGAGCGGGACACATCCTCCACCCGGACTACCTCCAGCCGCTGCCCTCCACCCCGGTCAGCCCCATCGAGGTAATTACGCGGATAATGTTCGGTTTTTACGCACGGACTTTGTAACGCGATAAAGCGTCTTGTTGTCTGCGTTGCTGGAGATTTTTGTTCTTTACACGGCTTATTTTGACGTGGTTTGCGGGCTTAAATCATCTCGTGCTCGCTTTGGCTTTTTTATCTTCGTGGAAATTTAATTCAGGCGTCGTTAAGTGTCTAACTGAGCGACACTTTGAAATAAAACAAATCTAGCGTGTAATTCCACATCGCGTAATGATTTTGTGGGTATTTTAATGAGGGTGGTGACTGTTTTACGCAAAAAATGTCACATATGTGGAGCGACTTTGGCACACAAGAGCCAAACGCGGGGTTAAGGAATAAGGAAAACAGCTGGTCTTTTCGTGAGACTGAATAATAATCGGTAAAATGGTTTTGTTGTCGTCGGGGTAATCGTCCCACAGACTGAAGTAGCGGTTTCTGGTCACTTCTGCGCTCGGAGTGGTTCATTTAGTGGAAATAAGTGACTCTTTTACAAACAGCTTATCCGTAAACGCCTCGTTAGTTGGGCTGACGTTGAAGTGGACGGATTTACGCGTGTTTTACGGGTTTCTGGGCACATTTGTCTCGGAGCTCGGCGCTGCTAAACCACGAATGTCATTTTGCATTCATTCACTCATTTAACTTCTTATCAAAGCGTCACAGGCTGTTTGGTTTATGGGGTGAAACAGATGTGTGCGTAATGCGTAATTGTCTCACATTGGTGGCGCGGTTTGTGGTTGTTGAACACGGGACAGTCCTAAATGTCACTGAGCTTTATTTCACCCACACTCGTACATCCATCCGTGACAGTTTCGTGCGTAAAGCTTAATTTGGAATGTTTATTGTTTTTAGTTTTAATTAATGCTTTTTTTTCTCCCGCAGCTTGACGCCAAAAAGAGTCCTCTGGCGCTTCTGGCCCAGACGTGCTCTCAGATCGGGAAACCGGATCCTCCCTCCGCCGCTAAACTCTCCTCCTCCGCGGGCTCAGGCTCCAGCGGCTCCGGGGACAAAGATGCCAAGACCCCGCTGAAGATGAGCGATCTCGGGTCTGAGGACAAGTCCAGTTTTAAACCGTACAAAACGGACAAGAAGGAGTCCAGCAGCGCGGAGAGGAACGGCTTTCGCGTGCCCAGCGCCACGTGCCAGCCTTTTACGCCGCGCACGAGCAGTCCCAGCTCCGTTACGTCCGCGTCTCCGGTGCCGAGCGACACAAAAGACAAGGACGAAAAGAAGGAGGACAGACCAGACTCTGTCCCGAGGACTGAAGACACGTCTAAATCGGCCCCTGAGCCCACGCCCCCGGTCTCCTCGAGCTCCACGGGCCTGGGGCTCGTGGCTCCGGTGTCTCCGTACAAACCGGGCCCGGGGCACGTGTTCCCGTTGCCCGCCGCGGGGGTGTCGTACCCCTACGGCTACCCACAGCCTTTTCTCACGCACGGAATGACCCTTGACCATAAGTCCACCAGCGCGGGTAGCGGCGGGCTGCTGGGACAGTTCTCGTCTCTGGCGGGAGGAGCGAAGGGGGGCAGCCCGCTGGCAGGAGCCTCTCCCCCGGGGCTGGCTCCGGGACTGTGTCGGGACCCGTTCTGCCTGGGCTTTCACTGCGCGGGGCTCAGCGGCGGCGGCGCGGGCTGTGACTCTTTAAAGAGCGGCTATCCACTCATGTACGCGCCTCCTGCCGCGCACGCGCCTCTGCACGCGGCGCACTCTTTCCCGGGACACGCGCTCTACCCCTACGGCCTCGTGGCCAACGACCCGCTGCCGCACGCGTGCAACTGGGTGTCCGCTAACGGCGCGTGCGACAAACGCTTTGGCACGTCAGAGGAGCTGCTCGCGCACCTGAGGACGCACACGGCGCTCACCTCGGACAAACTGATACCGGGTTACCATAGCAACGGCTCGTCTCTCGCGGTGGCGGCGGCCATGGCGGCCTCGTGTCATATGCACATGCCCAGCGGCAGCCCGAGCGCGCTCGCGCTCAGAGGCCCTCATCACGCGCTCGGACTTTCCCGGTATCACCCGTACTCCAAGAGCCCGCTGCCCGGGAGCGCGCCCGGGGCCGTGCACGTGCCCCCCGCGCCTGCTCAGTACTACTCCCCGTCCCCGTACCTGTTCGGACAGAGACTGACACCTGCACTGTACCAATAGCACCAGTGTGACCGCCCCCAAGACCCGGATGTGGATTATTGTGGTTTGATTTGGAGTCACGTGACACAGCAGGAGTCCGGGGTCAGCGGGGGTCACACAGAGCCTGGATTTATCAGATTGTATTTTAATAAAGTTATTTAAGTTTATCTGGAGAATTACAGATTGTGACGCAGTGAAGGAGGATCTGACGCTGCTCTTTGTTCAAGAGGCGAGGCCCAGAGTCTTTTCTTATTTAAAAACTTATTGTAAATGTAACATTTCAAACACAAGTAAAATTTACATGAAACCATCTGTTTTCACTTCATCTTTTACACCTCTTCACTAATGACGGAAATCCCTTTGAGATTTCTGTGGAGTTAATGCTGCTAATGATTCTGGCAAATACACTTCACACCTGGTTTAAGTTATTCGCACTGTTTGCCGTGGTCGTTGGGAAAGTTAATAAACGTGTACTCATCTCTCATCACAGAGTTTTAAAGCCATAAGAAACATTATAATAGCTGAATATTTGTGGAAAGCTACAGTTTTGTGTAGAGGTTTTATTCTATAAACAAAGTGTGTAAAAGATCATTTCAATGGTAAAACACAAAAAATATATCAAAAGGTTGTCGCATTCTCTTGTTAAATTCCACATATTCGGCGATATGGTAAATAAAGTAAGTAGATTTTAACACAGTCAGGACATGTGACGGTTCACTGCAAGGGTACATACTGCCCCTCACTGGTGGAAAGTGGTAACTACAACAACAATAAGACGACACACTGAAGAAACTGCTGCGAATGTTCAATCTACAGGCAATTATTAAACCCATGATTAATTAAAATACATTAAACTACAATTAGAAAATTAAATGGTTATATAGATAAAGGGCAAGGGTGAAAAAATGCATAGCACACTCGGTTGGCCGATGTTATTTTGTTAATAAAAAAGCTTTTGGGCATCAGCCAACCGTGTTTGCTATGCATTTTTTGACCCTTGTCTGGCTGCTCCTTACATTTGCACCTCTACAAGAATTTTGGTGTGCGTTTTCTGTTTCTTTTTATATAGATCAAGGGCCCATATTACACTATTTTCTGGTCTAATGTTTCCTCATCACAAACAGACCTGGAGTTGTGTTTTTTTTTCACACATTTAACACACAAACTCTGCGTATTTAAGCTGAGTTCTTCTCTCAAACTCTGTTCCACCTTATGATGTCATGCTGTAATACAGGAAGTGCTCCACTGTGTTTTGAAACTGCGTACACCTTCACTAGAATCATTTGGATTATTTCAACTTTGACACTTAACACTTTGAACTGGCTCCTCAAGTTCTGTTAACTTCACTGGGAAAATAAAAAATAAAAAATCCAGCTAAATTAAAATGGCTTAAATTAAGAACATTTGACTTTATTTGAGTCGATTCAACTTGACAAGTAAAATTATCTACCAATGGAATCAGTGTGTTTCTCTTAATTCGAGCAACATTCGATTTAGTTTCTTATTTTAAGTGCAAAAAGTTGTTGTTTTTCTTATTTTAAATGCATCAAGATGTATTTTCATATTTTAAGTACAAACAGTTTTCCTCCACTGGCAGATCATTTTACTTGTCAAGTGGAAATCTACTCAAATCATGATAAAAGTTTAATTCAAGTCAACTTAACTTGGCTAAATTTAGTTTTTTGCAGTCTTGTAGTAATAATTGACAATGATTTCCATAAACATATAAAAATAACATGCGACAAATGACAACACAGCTTTAAAAAATGCAAAGTTTATTGTGTTTTGGAACAGTTACTTTCAGTCACACAGTATATTTTTTTAATGTAGATTTGTTTTGGTTTATATAAACATTCAGAACTTTAAAGGGCTCATAATATTACACTATTTTGTCCATGTTTATCTGTGTTATAATGTTTCTTCATCAAAAACATGCTTGGAGTTGTGTTTTGTTTCATTCACACGTTTAACACACAAACCCTGCAGGTTTAAGATGAGTTCTTCTCTCAAACAGAAAAAAAACAAAACAAAAAACACTCTGTTCCACTTTGTGACATCATGTGGTAATACAGGAAAGGTGTAAAGTCGATTTAATCTTAATTATAAAAGCAAAATTTGGTGATTTGGTTCTCAAGACGATTAGAGATTGAATGATAAGAACGAGCCTCACGTGACTCTCCCGTTTGCGTTGCCAGTTTCAAAGCTGAAATCCAGTTGGTTTAATTCTAAAATGCATCTCTCTGATCTGAACGTTCACTCCCTAAACCCCAGAACCAGTCACGAGTCAGTGCTAGTGCAGCCTCTACAGCTCAGGGAGGGAATTCTGGACGTTCTGAGCTTTCACCTGAGGCCTGAACATAAACTGAGAACGATACAAACTTGGATGTATCTGCAGGTTAAAACTCTAGAGCAGTGTTTCCCAAAGTCACAATCTGCATGTCGGTCTGCAAAATACAGTTCTGAGAGCCAGTGAATATTTTGTTCCTTTGCTGGTTCAATTGAACGTTGGAAAAAAAAAAGAAATGGGCTACTTTTAACGTCCAAATAGTTGACTTCTGGATCCTTTTATTGCTGCTTCAATTTCTGTTTTTTATTGTTTAAACTTGAGTAATACTAATTGTTCAGAGACACGATCACTCAGTCAACAATAAAATATCCTCGTTAATGATCAATTTTATTTCACCTTTATTTTGTGACTTAAGAGTAATGTCTGTTGACTTGGGTCGCGAAGGTTTGTGACTCTTAAAAAAGTTTGGGAAACACTGATCTAGTGACATTTGTGGTTCATTTGTGATTGGAGTAACTTTTTTGAAAACAGTAAGAGCTCAGTCTGCACGTGGTTTCTTTAAAGATGCACTGTGTAATTTTCCCGGTGGAGGGTCTGTCTAATGCTTTTCTCCATGGAGATGTTATTGCTTCGTCTGGAATGTTTCACAGTATGGCTTTAAACCTTTTTATCATCATGGAGAGAGCGTAAAAATCCTTCCATGTAGAATCCATGACGAGAATCCTGGACAAAAGTTTATTTATAGTTGTCTAGTTGACCGGTTGAGTTTCTCCTTTTGCCATCGTCATGGAGACCAAACCAGACCAAGTTACAGGTCAGACCTGTGGAGAGGCGACCCAACTCACAGTCAGAATACCTGTTTTTTGGTATTTTTGAGCTATAAAACCACCTGTAACTGAATAAATGTAAAGTAGAGCTGTTTAATATCACACTGTGGAACATTTCAAGCAATACATACGTCACGAATTTCGGACTTCCGGTCATCGCGCAATGCATACTGGGAAGGATCCTCCGAAAAAGTGAGCATCAAACTGCCATGTTTGATTTCCCAGTGTCTATTGTCAAAGTCGATCTTTTCAAGTCTTTTGAACCATATCGCTTTTGTTTCTGGTTCTGATATTGTCATATTTTAGTTTTGGGATTCGGGCATCGTAACTGTGTGGTTGTTGGATCCTAACGGTGGAAAAATGGCTTCAGAAGTTTGCGAACTTCATAAATGCAAAAGGGAATCAGATGTGTGTGACTGCAAACCTCTGTTCAAACTCTTTCTCTTCCCAACGGAATTGAAAAATAGTGAAAGGTGAAGGCGATGGGCAGGATTGATCCACAGGAAGGACAAAAAAGGAAACATATGAATACATAAGAAATCATCCCGTGTTTGGAGCGAACATTTTGTTTTTTGTAGAGCGCCAACAAAACAAAATCCTGATCCTTCGCTCAACCTTGGTTATGAATTTAAAAAGTCAACGAAAAAATGAAAAGCACCAACTGTTCTCCAAGAAACACCTTCCACTGCAAAGAGACCGAGACGTGATGTTGCTGTAAAACCACAAGAACAAGAAAGTGCAGCTCAGTTTGTCTTCTGCACCTCTCGCTTAACAAATGGGATTTTGATTTGTCGTCGCTCCACATACAAAATGTTCACTGCGAACTCGGGATGATTTAGGCAGTCAAATGTTTCCTTTTTGGTTCTTCCTGTGGATCAATCCTGCCCATCGCCTTCACCTTTCACTATTTTTCAATTTCGTTGTGAAGGGAAACAGTTTGAACAGAGGTTTGCAGTCACACACATCTGATTCCCTTTTAAAGTTATGGAGTTCGCAAACTTCCGAAGCCAGTTTTCTGCTGTTAGGATCCAACATACAGAAAAATCCCGCACACCGTCTTACTTGCAAATTGTGAAATTTATTAGGACCAACCGTGCAACGTTTCGGCACTAGGCCTTCGTCCGGCAAACAGAATGAGAGCTCAGGTGGCCATCTTAAATAGGGTGTGGCAAGCACCCAAGGGTGACAGGTCATAAAGAAACAGTGCACACAAAACCGCATCATTCAAAAAACAAAGATAGTCAAGATATAGTGTAATAATAATACAAATAATAATAATGAAATCATCATATAACAATCATAGAATAATATTAGAAAAGAAGAATATATGGATACATACAGACACAGTACACATTCACCCACATTCTATATATATACACAATGACTCTTAAGCTGTAGAACATATACAGCCCACCCAAAACGAGAGTCCTGATGATGTAAACTAATGTCTACAAAAAGATGCTAAGATTAAAATCGTCATTGATCCTTTAGTAGCTAAAGTTTGGAGAGTGTGAATCCAAAACGCTTCCCTTTGTTTAAGTATGCGGTCATGTTCCCCTCCTCTGGGTGGAGGGGGACATGCTCAATGCCACAGAAACGTAGAGAGCAAATATCATGTCTCTGATCATTAAAATGTACAGCTACTGGGTCGTCCCGGTCGTTTCTTCTGATGGAGCTCTTGTGTTCACTTATTCTTTGTTTTAAGTTTTCTTGTGGTCTTTCCAATGTCCACTAGGCCGCATGGACATTTCAACATGTTTTTACTGTATTATTGCATTGAGCACAGCTGCCGCATATGTAGTTACCATTGGGTAGAGGGAGCAATAGAGATCGAGAGGATAGTTTAGTTTTGTTTGTGAAATTGGCCCGTACCAGATCGTCTCTAAGATTTTTGCCTCGTTTGTGAACAAAGAGTGGAGGATCTTTAAAGATGGTTGAAATTTCCGGGTCTGATTTCAAAATATGCCAATATTTCAGGAAAATTGATTTAATTGCAGGTGTATGGGTCGAATATTGAGTGATGCAGGTTACAGAATAATGTTTTTGCCTTTTGGTGCTCTTTTTTAATAAATCTGTCTGTGACTTAAAGGTTGTATAGAGGATTTTTTAAGGGAAAAGAA